TTCTACTATTTAGGGGTCTACACGTGGTCGGCTGCCTGTGGCTTGCAAGTTTATGACTGCCTTCAACCCGCGAACGTGCGACGCCGCGACACTTTATAAAACCGAATATCGGGCCTGGATAATTGCAAGACTATTACTTATAGGGTTCCGTACTATGTTTACACGAAAATATGACCTAAACCCTAAACCCCAGACCCTAAGCCCGAAACCCTAAACCCCAAACCTTAGACCCCGCTCTAGTAAGTAAGCTTTGGTAGGACGTTTCAGCTTCTGGGGTTCCGGGTTTAGGGTTTCGGGTTTCGGGTTTAGGGTCTGGGGTTTAGGGTTTAGGGTTTAGGGTTTAGGGTGTGGGATCGACATTCCAGGGTTTACGGGCCCTGGCACAACGTTGTGAACTTGTCGCAGACAGAGCCCTGCAACATTTTACAGAAGCATATGCCGCCTCAAAGGAATCCGATCGCCCTAAACCTTAATCCTTAAGAACTAAAGACTCAACCCTAAACCCTAAACCTTAATACTTGAAATCTCCACCCTAAACCCTAAACCCTAAACCCTAAACCCTAAACCCTAAACCTTAGTCCTCAAAAGCTTACCCTTTACCCGGCGTTTTTGTGTCCGCTCAGAAGAACTGCTTCCTGAGGCCTGGAGTCACTTTGCGGAGGCTCGCCAAGGGGGTTTTGGAGCATTTAGGGTTTAGGGTTTAGGGTTTAGGGTTTAGGGTTTAGGGTTTACGCTTAAAGCACCCCAAAATGAACCTTCAAGTTTTTGTCGTTCAAAGCTTAAATTAAAGGTGTTTTCTCAATTTGGACCCTGGGTTTTTGTTGGAGCGTACATGGGTTTCTGGGGTCGTTACCTGCTCCTGGGAGCAGATTTTCAGCGGCAGTCGCTGTGTTGCGCTGAGGGTTTATGTGTTATTGTTTTCTTTGAAAGCTTGAGGTTGTTCCCAAAACTTTTTCATTTTTGGCAGCGGGGGTGGTGATTCGGCTTTGAGTGGTCTTCACTGTTGATGGCTTAGGGCTAAGAGTCTTTGTATCATACCCTAAGCCCTAAACCCTAAACCCTAAACCCTAAACCCTAAACCCTAAACCATACTTCAGAGAGACTCCCAAAGCCTTTAAACCCTGCTGCCTAAAATCCAAATCCCACCGAAAATCTACAATAGGAAAGAAGGCCTGAGCAATAAGTACATAAAAACCCTAAACCCTAAGCCCTAAATCCTAAGCCCTAAACCCCAAACCCAAAGCAAATAGCAGTAGTCGTTGTCCAAGCTTGTTGGGGCTCTGCAAGCAGAAGCCTCCAGTGTGGTCTTAGGCTTTGGGGCTTCAGGATTTTAGGGTTTAGGGTTGAGGGTTTGTTTAAGCTTTAGGGTTTAGGGTTTAGGGTTTAGGGTTTAGGGTTTAGGGTTTAGGGTTTAGGGGTTGGAGGTTGAGAAGGCTTTTAGGCTGTAGTCTAGAAGCCCGGAACAACTTTCATGGAACCTTATAGCAAAAATTCGACGAACATGCATCAGTACTACTAGGCTTTAGGTTGAAGGCTCCTCCTTAAACCTTAAACCCTAAGCCGGAAACCCTAAACCCGAAACCCGAAACCCGAAACCCCAAGCCGCAAACCCGAAACCCTGAACTGCAAACCCGAAACCCTAAAACCCCAAACCGCACACCCGAAAGCCCTAAAACCCCAAACCCTAAAGCCCTGAAGCCCCAAACCCTAAACTCAGCGCTTCTGCTCTCTGAGGCATCCCTGCAAGAGTGCCCGGCAGCCTGGGGGATCGGGTGATCTAGTTGGTTCTGGTAGGTTTAGGGTTTAGGGGCTAGGGGTTTAGGGGTTTAGGGTTTAGGGTTCAGGGTTTAGGGTTTAGGGGCTAGGGGTTTAGGGGTTTAGGGTTTGGAGTTCAGGGTTTAGGGTTTAGGGGGTTTGGGGTTTAGGGTTTAGGGTTTAGGATTTAAAGTGTACCTTAACCCACCAGAACCTACTTTTCTGTAGGGTCCCTATACATCCCATATTAGGGTTTATAATAAGAACCTACCAAAAAGTTGGTTCTGGTCGATTAAGGTGGGGTCTTGGGTTTAGGGTTCTAGCAAGGCTTAATGATTTTTTGAAGGACCAGGACGTTTCGGGCTTCGGGTACGGGTACAACTGCGTATAGTGCCAATGATGGTATTCTGAACGTTCCTTGCTACGTCCCCCTCCCTAAACCCTAAACCCAAAACCCAAAACCCTAAACCCTAAACCACGTAGGGTTTACAGGCACAGCCCTAAATCCGGGCCACGCGTCTGCTTTGGGCATGACGTTCTCCGACTCCCAGTCGACCTGGGGCGACTGGGTTTAGGGTTTAGGATTTAGGATTTAGGGCTTAGGGTTTAGGGTTTAGGGTTTAGGATTTAGGGTTTAGGGTTTAGGGTTTAGGGCCAAGGAGCCGGTCTTCGGCGCTTTGCTCAGTGGGCCTCCCACCACGTAATGCTGGCCAGTAATGCTGGCCAGCCTCCACTTGGCTGGCAGCCAAAAGCAACCCTAAACCCTAAACCCTAAACCCTAAACCCTAAAGCGCCAAGGCCCATTTGGCGGTCAAGGCAAAGGCGGTCAGCATGCCTTATGCGAAAAAACCTACAGTAACTCCGGCAACCTCCCCGTTAGCTGCGCATACGTAGGGCAAAAAAAGAGCAGGGAAAAGAGGAGGAGAAGGAAGAGGCAAAGGAGAAGAAGGAGGAGCAGAAGGATCCGAAGGCAGAGGATGAAGAGGTGAAAAAGAAGGACGGGGTTGATGGGGTGTGTCTGGCCGCGCTGATTTTGCTGGGGTGCTTGTGACGTGTAGGCCAAAAGCGGATGTGTCCTGATCTTTCTGCATGTGAGTCGCGGGCTTACAGTACTTTCTGTCGGTTGCTTGTGCGTTGTGGGTTTTCGAGTTCTTCGCGCCCGAGGAGATGGCAAATGCAAGCACGCGCGCGTGTCGAGTCGGCGCTTCAAATGGCAGCCTTCTCAGCACCGTGCGCTCCTGTGGATTTTCCCTGGCATAGTACTTTTTCACTACTTCTTGTATATGTGGCAAGAACATGCATAATGTACATATTATCGAGTGCATGCCGAACATACTATAAGCAATAGCTATATGCCGAGATTGTACATCTCGAAAACAATATAAAGATATATGTATTACACCGTGCGTGGTATTCTTTTCATTATTTCTGGTACCGATGGCAAGAACATATCAACCATCTTTCGTTTTCTGTAGCAGAGTGCCTTTGCCGTGGTGATTCTGGGCGAGCACGACGGAGCGAGGCAAGGTCTCTGCGGCAGGAGAGGATGCGATCCATCGCGGTCCTCGTTGAAGGGTGTCCATGAAGCTAGCGAAGGTCCCCAATCCCGGCCACCTGCGGCAGGAGAGCTTGCGTTTCTGGGTCTGCTGGGTTGCGGGCGTGCTGGACTGGATTCTTGAGGGAGAAGACGATGACCAGTTTGCTTCACCCAAACTTGGTCAGGATCCTTTCCGTACTAACCGACGATGACCGCATTGTTCGCGAGCGCTGCTCTGGAGGCTCCACAGCTTGACTTTGACCATCTTGCTGCCTGTCCGTGTCCTGTCGTCCGCACTGAAACCGTCTGCGTCGTGTTCCGAGCACGGGCAATTGAGAGTGATCTCTTGAATACCGCAGTTGCCGGAACTGCGACTACTTTGTACAAAAAAGGCCGAGACAGCAAGATTGAACTAGGGGGCGCCGGGCACACCAGCAGCAGTCATTGATTTATCTTCGACCTTTTTATAGGTCGGCCTGCCGCTCCAGCCGGGCTCCGTGTTGATGCCATGGCAGCGTTGAAAATTTGCAGGCGTAGCATGCAGAAGCTCTTTGTTACTGGTCGCTCCAGGTCTGCTGAAAGCTCGTTCGACAGAGGGCCTCGCGCGACGGCGACAGCTTGACTGCTACTCGCCGTTTCAACAATATCCGATGAGACTGCTTTCGTTGATGCCACTACTGTTCCAGGATTTTCTATCGACGATGAACCCGACATCTTTATCAAAACGTAAAACCAAATCCAACACCCTTGACCCTAGAACCCTACTACAACTATAGCAGCCTCACTTTATAACCCTGTTTCTTCCGTCCCAGCTCGCCTGCTTTGGGTGTCCCAGGCCCGTGTGCTCCGCGGCGGCGGCGGCAAAAAAGTACGCCTCCTTGCCGCCGGCCGGAGCAAGGACATCTGGGAGGAGAAGCACGGCTTTGACGTGGCCCACGGCAAGCACTTGCAGAAGTTCGTGGGCTCGCCCGAGCTCCTCGGTCCGGGAGCAGCTGCATCCCTCACCCTACACCCCCCCGCTTGGACCCGACACCCCATGCATGACCCAAAGCTGGCGAAACCAACATGCCCAATGCAAGCTGACAACCGGAGTCGACGAAAGACGATGTCACCGAAATCACCCACTGTCCGTTCGATGCCGACTGCAAATGCGTGGAGATTGGAGCTTGAAGCTTCCTAAGCCCTCCCCAAACCCTAGCCCAAAGGGTCCAGAGGATCTCAAAAAAAATTTCTCCGCAAGGTTTCCAAAAGACTTTAGTAGCACGGGTCGGTCAAAAGACTGAGTACTTGCAACCCAAGAGGTTTACTTTTTGAAGGGATTGTACAGGGATTTCATATCAATGAGTTTTGGGGTTTAGGGTTCAGGGGTTTGGGGTGTAATGTTTAGGGTTTAGGATTCATCCATATCACAGTAACCGAAAAAACCAACGTCTTTTTACAATGGAGGGGCGGCAACGCTGGAAAAAAGTCAAAGGAACTACTTCAAGGGGATGGAAACGGAACGTAGAGATACCCTTCACAATTACAGGTCCCGTACAATGCTTCCAAAAGATCGCTGGAATTCCTTGAGGTTTACCACATTATTTTCCGAAGAGACACCAATCAAGTTTCGTAAAAAGCCGTTATAATATCCAATAGCATCGGTACAACCCTTCAAGAGCAATTAAACCCTAAACCCTAAAGCCTAACTAATCACCGCCCCTCTGAGGCCAAGACAAAGGATTTTCCGACGGCATCTCTTTGGGCCTCGACGCCGTAGCTGCAACAACGCAGACATCTTGTCGGGTTTAGTATTTAGGGCTTACGGGAATTATAGGATAACTATAACAAGGAGGCCTAACGGGTTTAGGAACGGTTTCGGGTGTAGGGTTTGGGGGTGTACGGTTGAGTAACGGGTATGCATGCACCTAAACGATGTACCATAACGTTATCTACTGAGATGAAATGCTTATACTATATAGCGTATAAACAATAACGAACCCAAAGGAAGACTATTGGTAGGTATTCGAGCTTCTATATCAGGGTTTTGTTCAATACGGGTTTCGCAAGATTTTAGAAGGGTGTGTCGGGTTTTGTAATCTCTTTTGTGACTGTTCTATAGGATTTGCAGGGGTGGTATATATGAGGGCTTGTATAGGGTTTTTGGAGGGCTTTAAAAGGATGTTTATCAGATTTTTATCGGTTTGCAGGTCCGAGGTTTCGGTGTCAAACGTTTGGAGGTGCAGACATCTTGGATGCGGTTTAGGGTTTAGGTTTAGGGTTCCTCAAGTAAACCCCCTCCCATCTTCCGGATCTTTGGCATCGAAGCCATCCATGATCATGGTTGACGGTTCAGGGTTTGGTGAACTTCGAGATCCACCTATGGTGCAGTCAATATACCATGGATCTTTTCTTGAGAAATAAAATCCCCTCCCTGCTGCTTAGACCTCAAAGCCAGAAAGCTCGTAAGTCCTTGCCGCATCTCGCGAAAAGGGCTTCCAGAGTTCGGCCCTCCGGAACCCAAGCCCCAAAACCCCATAAAGCTTGTGAGAATAGGATGTTCGAATCATTCCTTGATATGAATTTGGTAAAGCCCCCAAACCCTATTCTAATTATCAAGCCCCCTATAGACGCCCGATAAAGATTTCAGTTTGAAGTGCCGTAAACCCTTACGAACACATCTACCAGTCCGTTCCTCTAAACATCTCTAAGCCCTAAACCCTCGGCCCCAACCATACAGCCCTAAACCCTGAAACCCCAACCCTGAAACCTCTAAACCCTGAAACCCCAACCCCGAAACCCCTAAACCCTAAACCCTAAACCCTGAACCCCTGAAGCCCCAAACCTTCCTCCCGGGCCCCCAAGCAAGGATGGGTGGCGGGAGCTGCAGCGGGCCATCAAGGAGGGCGGCGCAACTTGGCAAAGAAACCCGAAACAAACCCTAAACCCCAAACCCAAAACCCTAAGCCTTGAACTCCCTAAGGGCTGTTATGTGGGTCGAGACGATTTTGTCGGGGGTTCGAGGTGCAGCGTGCTATAGAAGCCTGAATAGTTACCTATACTACTTTGGGGGTTCCTTATTTACATTATAGTACAAAAACCCCCAAACCCTATTCTAATTGTTAAAGCCCCCAAACCCCAAACCCTTACAGTAGCCCTTATAGAACCCGTTAAGGAACCCTTCAAAGGAACTCCCAAACCTCATTCTAATTATTACGGCCCCTACATCCTAAACCCCTATAGTAGCCCTTATAGAACCCTTTAAGGAACCCTTAAACAGAACTCTCTAGAACCCGATTCTAATTATGAAGGCCCCTATAGTAGAACCCTGCAAATCTCACCATCCCGGCGACGCCGTAAACCCTGAACCCTACACCCTAAACCCTGAACCTTAAACCCTAAACCCTCAACCCTAAACCCTAAACCCTTAAACCCTCAGCCCTTAAAGCCTAAAGCCTAAACCCTAAACCCTAAACCCTTAAACCCTTAAACCCTTAAACCCTAAACCCTTAAAGCCTAAAGCCTATACCCTAAAGCCTAAAGCCTACACCCTAAACCCTAAACCCTAAACCCTGGGATCCTGCTACCTCGAACACCTGAGCCGATACACCGGTTTACCTTCAACCTCTAAAGGATCCCTTCCAGGGCTTCTATAAGGGCTCCTTGATACCGGTTTAGGGTTTAGGGTTTAGGGTTTAGGGTTTAGGGTTTAGGGTTTAGGGTTTAGGGTTTAGTGTTTAGCGGTTTTTATTCGGGCTCCTGCAAGAGCTCCTTCAAGAGCTCCTTTAAAGGCGTACCTTGAAGGGCTCCTTTCAGGCTCCTTGATGTGTTCCTTTTTGAGGATTCCTTGAAAGGGCTCCTTTCAGGGTTTCCATTAGGGTTTACGATTATGGTCTAGGGCCCCCTAAACCCTAAACCCTAAACCCTATAGTTTAGGGTTTAGGGAGGGTTCCTTTTAGGCTCCTCTCAGGGTATTGTCAGGGGTGCTAAAAATCGATCCGTGCCGGGGCTTCGGGTCTTAGGGTTGAGGCTTTACGGCTTGCGGTTCATAACGTAAGGTTTGGGGGGGTTTAGGATTTAGGGTTCATGAGTTGAACAGGATTCTGTGAAGGCTTGTTGTATAAGGGGCCGGAAGTTTTTTTCAGAAAGATCTGCCCTTCCACTCCCTTCATAGTTATCCCCGAATGTGCCAGCCTCGGGTTGAGACAGGTCTTTCCCAAACCAGACCCTATTATGAGTATAGTTTTTTTATGCCCCACAACACTATTTCGAATTATCATGGCCCCTGCGCAACATTGAAAGCCCGGAAAACGGTGCTCCACAGCCCAAAAACCCTGAACCCCAAAATCCTAAACCCCTAACCCCTAAACCCTAAACCCTAAACCCCTAAACCCTAAACCCCTAAACCCTATACCCTAAACCCTAAACCCTTAAACGCCTAAACCCTAAACCCTAAACCCCTAAACCCCTAAACTCCCCAAACCCTAAACCCGAACCCCTAAACCCTAAACCCTAAACCCCTAAACCCTAAACCCTAAATCCCTAAACCCCTAAGCTC